TCAACAGAAATTGGGTTTAGCCATGGCAGAAACTGGAAATCTTCAAATTATTCCAGAATAGTATTATGTTTTGTATCTAATTTTTCTAATTATTGTAGACTGTGATTTAAATATCACGTCACTATTTTGAATGCGGTTATTATTGTATAAACCGCATGGGATTGCTGTTTTCGGTTGTATTATCAACCAAAAACATTCAAAACTGGGCATTTTTATTGGAAAACATGTTGTTGAAAGTTTAACTGTATTTTTTCTACAAAATGTATATAGAACTGTAGTATAGGAATTATCATTTGTCGAACATGCGTTAAGATTCTTTATTAATTATTAGATAATGATATATTCTGTGCTATAATTTCAATACTATTAATATTTCTAACAAATTGAACAAAATTATGTTATGTTTATATATTGTGTTTTACCAAAGTTACTGATAATAGATAATAGATAAAGAAATATTGTTCTTATACATACATTATTATTATAAGAATACAAACTTGTGCCTTGTACATTGTAATAAGTATTCTATTTATTTATTAAAAATCTGTACGTTTTTGTATTGTGAATAAAATATAAAATGTCTTTTTTTTGCTGATTGTTATTCAGTGATAGGAATTAATAAATCATCCTTCAATAATATAATTTATGATAAATATGTATTTTAACAAAAAATGTATCTATAATTTAATTTAACATTGTTTTGTATATCTTTTGGATAAATACTGATTTGTACAACTTTGCAATAAATTTGAACCGTGCAATTTTTTTCTAAATAAATACATAAATTTAACAGCACTTGAGTGTGATGATTATTCTTATACAAGGATTTTGGTCCATTTTAAGTATAATGAGAATTAATTTTAATAAGGAAAATAATTATTTAATTGTAGCAAAGATGGAGAACTACATAGGATTTTAATTTTTTTAACAATTTTAAAAACAATAAACACAATTTCCGTTTGATAAAAATTATTTACATATATACATTAAGACATGTGATAAAATATATATGGCGATCATTTAGCTTTGTATGTATATTTAAAGCTATATTCGATTTTGTAAGATGTAATCTAAGAATATAAGGCTTTCTTTTTCTTATTCATTCGAAGACAGTATCTAAACAGTGCAAATTTTACTATCATTTTTTATATTTTATACTTTGAGATTTCCATAATAAAGCTTTAATAATAAAAGAAATTTGCTGAGATTCTTTGTAATATATTTTTAATACTTTCTTTGTAAAATATTAGAATATTAAGACCTATTATTTTATTTGAGTTTATGAAGATTTGAATTTGCACCGATTATATTTCACTTCTAGTTTGTGAGAGCTTATAGAATATTCAATTTTTAATTTTTGGTTATTTTTCATTTCATTAATTTCACAAAAAAATTAAATAAATTATTATACAATTGATAATTTATATCATTTTAATAAATTTGCCGCGTTTACACTATCCATACTTATGATTAGTGCATGCATCTTTGAAATTAGTTGCATTAAATGGTCCGAAATAATCATCGTGAAGTTGTCTGATGATTGTCTCGATTGGGCACAATTTTGAATCTTTGCGTTTTTCCATTTCATTACGTTCAATATAACTGATACTATAAAAATTTGCATTCCTGCAAAATGGAATTTTCTGAGTAAAATCTTTACCATTGATCACTACTCGAAAATAGAAATCGCTAGCTACGTGATTTTCATTTTTCGGATTTATTCGATAAACTTCGATCACGAAACGAGAAGCATAATGCGGCATTGTCAATTTGTCAGAAAATATACCGAGAGCAGTTGCGAGGTATTCTAATGTTTTATCATGACCAGAATATAAAACTATTTTCGGTTTAGCTTCAGAGATAATCCGTAACATATAGAAAACGATATTTCGAAGTAACCCATAAGCCCTTAGCAATCCATATTTTCTGCGACTGTTATTTTTTGCCACTTGCTTAGATTCCCATTCTGTATAAGTGAACAAACTTGTTACATGTTCAGTTTTCACGCAAATTCTTTGAGTGTTAAAGTCTATGCAGGGCAGAGAAGCACCATGGCAGATATAAGTTAACAATGCATCCTTTAACGTATTAGGATCTGTCATCTGGGCTTGATCAGGAATTTCGAAGACTGCATTGGAAGCTTGTCGTATAAGATCAGCCACTGCTGGATGAGATTTCAAATGATCTGACATTTCCTGTAAGAAAATTTCAAAAAATTCAATATCAAATTCATAAAAAAGATTAAAATGTAATTACCTTTAGATATTGCTTATAAAATTTTTCAGCAGCAGGACATGCACAATCTGTATTACAAAAAGCATAGCTTTGACTTTCTTGCATAGTAATTTTAGCTAAATTTTGGAAACCATCTGTTTCTAATAGAGCATATAATAATGCAACTGCACTTTGGACTGTCCTTCGATACCTAGTGCTATATACAATAATATCCTTATTGGATATAGAATTATTTCCCAGATTCAATTTATGATAATAAGCATTTTTAAGTATGATTCCAGTTTTTAATAATTGTCCAATGCCAAGGGTTGTCAATTGGCCAATTTTGCAATCTTTAGAATTGCTGGGCAACATTGGAAAACCATGAAATGGTCCTAAAAATTGTGCCCAAGCAGTTCTGGAATAGCTGGAAACATTTTGCAAAAAATTTACATAATTATGATATAAATTTTCTAATTCAGGTATGGAACTAAAATCTCCACCGCAATTCACTAAACTTATATTTCGAATATGTGCTAAAGGACCTCTGTCTCCATGTCGAATAAACACTAAAATTCCTCCTAATGTTAAATTTCCATCTAATTTTCCTAAAAATGAGAATTATTAATTATTTTATTAATTTAAAATAATTTAATAATATTATAATTATTTATAATATATAATATATAATATAATATATAATAATAATATAATATATAAACATTTTATTTACCTTCTGTTTCTGTTGTAATTTCACTAGGAGGATTACAAAATCGAAATATTCTTTTGGTTTTCAGATCAGCTTTTAAATTTCTTGGGAATTCTTTTATGGAAATGTCATTTTCTATAACTCTAGCTTGTATAGAATTTTTTTCATCTATACCAATATATTTGTACATACCTATAAAATTTAACAATGCAATTTTATTAATTATATTTTAGAATTTTACATATATATTTGTAATGAATAAATTCATATTCAATTTTTTGCTCAGAAAAAAGTAGAAAAAAAAAAAAACAGATGAAAAAAAGAATTTTAAACGTGTTTATATATATGCCTAACACCAAGTTAACGAAGTCGATAACATGAAATCGTGTATGCACCAGTTAATTGCATTGTCTCGCATATTTCCTTTTTTCCTAGCGCTTATGTTAAGATAAAATAGCGCATTAATATATAAAAAGGATTTTCTAAAAAAATCTATTATGTTATTACATAAAATAATATAAAAAATAAAAAAAATATAATAAGTAATCAGTTTTAATCAAAATTAAATATACAATTAATAAAATTATAAATAATGTATAAAAAAATTAGAATATATATAAAAAATAAAAAAAATAACTGCCGAGATTTCCTTCAATTACCAGCAACAAGAAGAAAAATCCATATACTCAGAATCACATAGCAATAAAATGCTCGATGCTGGTACGAAAGACGGACCATTTCCGCCAACATTCTGTGGCTGACCTTGAATCCAGCCAAATCTTTCTTGAATTTCACGACCTCGACGACGAGGACGTTGATAATAACACCGAATCAAATAACCAGAATAAATCCGGTTCAACGACACTTCTCCAAACTGCATCCTTTCTGTTCAGCGATCCTGTATAATTTTATCTCAATAATTTTTGAAAAATCTAGAGGAATTAAAATCCTATAAATGATATTATAAAGCAAATTTTTTATGACTTTCCACGATAACGGTTCCAACCAGAACACATTAGTGAATGCAAATTGCCTATCTTCTGACATTTCTTTATACTTTTAATCTTTAATTTTATTTTATTATTAATTATTCGTTTATTTTTTTGATTTATTGCTGTTAAAGATGTTGAACAGCTAAACTAATTATTGTTTCTCATCACGGTTGGTCAGAAGAATAGTAACTATATATAATATTGACAAATTCTTGTTGGATTTTTTTTTAATTTTGTTGATGAATCTTTTTTAGTATTTTAGGAATTAATGTTTATATCTTATATCTTAAGAATTTCTAAATATGAAAAGCATATCAGGTATTTCAATACTCGCATTCTGTTGAGATAGGTTAATATCGAATGCAAGAACCCTTTTTTTCTCTCACAAAGCTATTTATTCATATTTTAATTTTATACTTTCAGGTTCGTTGTCTGTATTTTGTAAACAATTGTGAAAGAAAAAATTGACAGGATCAATGAACAATTTTTTTCTTAAAAATTTTTTTATCGCGAAAATGATTCCATATAAATCTTCTCTTTTCTTTAGAGATCATTTATCCTTCTTCAATTGTTATTGTCAAGTTTTTATATTTACAATTATCCATTTTTACAATAATATTAATTAAATTGATTGAATTGATAAATTGAAGTTCAATAAACATATGAGAAATGTGGATTGACGGAGATGCACTTCGATGACATTTTAGAAATCATACAAATTATCACTTTTCACATCTTTATTATTTTACTTCATAAAATAAGATTTGAAAAAAATCAATCACAACTAACTGAAGCTATGATCTTACTAAAATATTTTCCTGTGTCTACGACAGATATGCGTTCCTTGTTACAAGAGTAGATATCAAAATACGCATGCGTGCAAGATATGCAATTTGATTGGTCTGTCCTTCTGGTTTTAAATCCATTTCGATCCGCAGTTGGAAAAGCTGTGAAGAAGTTTCAATGAAAGTGCGCGATATCCAATGATTCATAAGTGAATATAGAATAAAATAAGATTATCCCAGGATAGAAAATTGATCATCAAAAATAAATAAAACTTTTTTAATTATTCAATATTTTCAATTATGATATTTGTATAAAATTTAATTTAAAAAAATTTTTAATTAACATAACGTAATATCGTCTTTTTACATAAATATATATACAAATTTAAATTTTAGGATTAATTGCGATAGTGTTTATTAGTGTAAATGTTTATCAAACCCAAGTTTACCTCATAAAAAAGATGAAAATAATAGGTGAGTTAAGAGCGCAAGCGCTATCATATCTATTTCCAATTTCAGATGTACATCTGAATTTCATCTTATCCATTTTAAAAACTATTCCATTGATGTTTTCAAATTAATTTTAATAATTTGAAAAAAATTTTACTTTGATATTTATTAACTAAGGAAATAGATAATAAACGAATCAAATAAGTAAAATGCATAGAAGACAATTCTACAATATATATTTTAGACTAACATTGATTTGTTTTTTATTATTTTTAGTTTTTAAACATCCACCTATAGAGAAAAGGAATCTCTAGATATATGTATGACAATTAGGCAGACAATGTAAATACATCTTAGATTTCATGAGGCGAACTACAAGGATAACTCGAGCTGAATGGTATAATGATATAAGAGTTCTAAACTAACCGTCAATTATATTAGTCTTAAATAGAATGTATTTACATTAAACACGTGTGTTCTTTTTAAAGCTACAAAGTTACGTCAACATCCGTTTTCTTATCGCTGCTTGATACATTCAAAATATGACTACCAAGATTTTTTTAAATATAGAAAAATGAAATTTTATGTATTATGTTGTTAGATCATTGAAAAAAAATGCAATTAATAATCGAAAAAATATGTTAATCAAATAAAACATAGAGTATTTTTTATGTAGCTCTATCTACGAAGTCTAGTATAATGTTTGAAAAATTGATATCAAGTACGAAATTTATCTTTTGTAGAAATTTATTATAAAGAAATAATGATAATATAAAAATTTTTATTTTTTATTATTTAATTTATTATTATTTTTATATAAGAGAAATAAGAGTATTGATTATTGAGAAAATAGCACGTATTGCGAAACAATAAATAAATCAAGATTTTTTTTGTTGAATTGAATTTTAAATTGATACAAAGACACGAAAATTTTGATTAAAAAATTTCTTAATCATGAATATAGAAATCTTTGAACTTTTTCAAGGATATATGCAGAATATTTGAATGGGATAATAAAAAAAAATTAAATTAAAAAAAATAAAAATTAAATGTGAAAAAATACTATAAAATCAAATATAATACTAATAATAAAGTGATAACTAAGATAATGATCATGAGATCTCGTAATATGATAATCCTTGACCGATCATTTTGTAAAACATATCAAATCCATTTGATCTGGCACATTCATATAAATAGTTATTAAATACAATTAAATGCAGGGAATTCCATAATAGAGACGCAGATAATCACTGATTGTTTCTTATGCCATTGCCACGGTGGCAATGATCTTGTCGAGGCATATCTTGTTACATATCAAGCATAACCATTATGATTATTGTGATGGATAATCAACAGAGTTACATCATCATGAAATTAAATTTCATAGTATGATAATAATTTATGACAATAAAAAATTATTTTATTTTATTTTTTTTGTGAATGAATTGAGTGAATGTTTTATATTATGAAGATTTTGCAAAAGAATTTGATTCGAAAAAGCAAAAAATCATTATAAATTTTTGTGATATCGAAAAAAATGAAGAAAATCATTATATGAAAATGTCCTGATTTATTCTTGTCACAGATACAAATTATTGTTGATTTTTAATTAATTTCTCGATGCTTTACAATCTTTGAGAACAAGCATTTCAATAAAATTCATTTAAGTAAAATATGAATTAAAATAATAATATGTTTTGAGCACTATCTAAATTGCAATCAGCGAATATTTATATTAAATATTCGTTTATATGTGAAATATAAACGAAAATAAAATGAAATTAATAAAATACACTTGTAAATAAATAAATAAAGTTAACATGAATTTTTGGAATTTCATGATTAAGATATGGATACTTAAAATGAAATTTTATTTAATAGAGAATGTTAAAATTATTTTATCACTATTATTTTACAACATTAAAAAGATATAAAAAGATATAATAATTTTTCTTTTTAAAAAAATGTTTTAAGTGTTTAAGTAAATAAAAAATGTGGAAATATTAATTTTTATTCTAAATATCTGTTAATCATAAGAACTTATGATTATCATGTGTGACTATGTATTATCTTTTTCTTTCAAAATGTAATGTAATTTAAAAAATAATCTTTTAATATTTCAGATGCAACTTCAGATATAGATCATATATTCTATAAATATTGGAAAATAACATAATGAATAATAAAATTGATGTTAACATTATATTATTACGATTACACGAGAATTTGAAATTTCGATTAGGATCACATAAAAATTATATTAACGATGCTGCCTATAGATCGAATCGATTATAGATCATTATAATGATGTTAGCAGAAATTATATATTGAAATGATTATTCAATAATAAAAAGGAAACCTCACAGAAATTATCATGATTTAATGTAAGTTAAGAATTTAGTTACTTGTAAAAAATAATTATTTTTGTTATGTATAAATTTGTATTATATCATTTGAATATATTATTCTTATTTTTTTTTTTGAAAAACATTTTTTATTTTCAATAAAAAATGCAGCGTTTTTCATTTCATTAATAATAATAAATATTTTACAAAATAATAATATTTTATAAAACATATTCAAGATTATCAGTTGTATAATATAATTAATATTATTCGATAATTTATTAAAAATGAAATATAATGTAATATAAATAATATAACGTAATATAATATAAAATTATATTTTAGAATAAGAAAAATGATAAATGCTTAGAGATATTAATTGAATTAAATGATGATAGTAATTACGATGATATCCATAGAAAGTCTGCCTACGCTCTTGTATAAATGCTTGTAAGCTGGAAGGAAGTATCAAACTAGATAAGCGTAGTAACATTCATTACTTCCGTCTAGTGTGGATGTTGTGCGTTTTATTCGTTCGTCCGCTGCGAGATTCGTGAATTGGTCCTTTTCTACCGCATTCATGCAATCATTCTCATGAATGAACATACATTCTTAACATTTTCTACACTGTTATTTTCTTTCTTATTTTTACAGAATTAAATAGCTTCAAATTTGCAAGTATTTTTACAAAACAAAATATATATTAAAAGACAAAGAGGAAAAAAAAAAGAGGATTGAAAGAAAAAAGCTATTTTTTAAAATGATGAAAAAATTAAAAAATGGAAATATAAAATAAAACAAAAGGTAGAAATGTCTATATGATATTTGGTATTTTCTTATTTTTTTATTCCTAAAAAAGTAACAAAATTAATGAAATTTTAATTATTTAAAATTGATAAAAAAATAAAGAGAGTAACGAAAAGAATTATATCTTATCTTTCTTCATTGATAATATCTATAATTATCCAAAAGAGAACCATATATAATTGGAAGAAGAAATTCACAGACAAGGAAAGTGAGAAATTATGGTGGAAACTTACAAAGTGGGGCGAATGGTTTCAAGACCGAACGAAAGTCGACGATCGCTGCGCACTCATAGTTAGTAGTAGGAGAACTTGAAGCGCGCGGTGATCAGTTCGAATTTAGCGTTTCGCGGCGAAACAAGTCGAATAGTCGCGTTTCGATTTTTTTGTGTGGTGTTCGTTTCTGATTGTTTGCGTCGTCGACGATGACACGCCAGTGCCAGAAAACGTGCAGGTGAAACATTATTATAAGAGGAAATATTCTGTTAACTATACTTCCGGTGTTCTTCGTACTTAGTGTTCTTCGAAGGTAATCAACAATTCACGTGGAACGACGATTTTTGAGTAACAGGATTCTGATCATTGTGAAATAAGGTTTGTAATATTTTTTTTTTAAAATATTGAAAAAAATCATATGGAATATGAGTATTTTATTTAATATTTAAGAAATTTTTAATTTTTATTTTTAATATTTTAATTATACTTTATGCTATATGTGAATAAATGTGATTCTCTAAATATTTTTTTAAATGTAATTCTTTTTATTATATAATTAGATAATATCTGTATATTTAAATTGTTTAAAACAATAATTTGAAAATGATTCTGCAAAAGTTGAATAATCTGCAAAATAATGAAGATGCTCCGATATATTATGTATATGAAATTTTTTAATATTTTTGTAAAAAAAATTATAGTAAAAATACTATATGATGATAAATTAATGAGATTTTAACTGCGAGAAGATATCTTGATTGACTAGAAATCAAAGTAAAGTAAAATTAAAGTTAAAGTTAAAAACTAAAGTTAACTATTAAATATTTTTAAATAAATATTATTTTAATCAAACTCGAATTTTTAAATTGTATTTATATAAAAAACTAAATATAAATTAAAAAATTACAAATGAAATGAATCTATTTAGAATAAACTATCATTATTATCTAAATGTTTGATTTGTTCATATTGATATTTTTTTTTTTTTTTGATAATAGATTATTTATTAAGTATTGGATTTCTATTTCAATCTCGTTAAGAGAATGTAGACTTTTACTATTTAAAAACAAACCACATCGTTTCTAACTCTGTAACTAATAATTTAACAGGTTTGCCGTTATCAAGCATAAACAGGAAACTTCCTTATTGCTACGAGAACTTTATGTTGAATTTATTCCACGTTACCCTTTCTATTATGTAATATTGAGTTCTCTCCATTTCCTGAGATCTTAAGTTTCTTAGAGATTACTTAAAAAATTTATTATATTTATTTAATACATTTTTAAAGTTTTAAAATAATTTTTATAATGATTTATAAAACATAATTGATTTTCAAAACATTCTATAATATTCTAAAATTATATATTAATTATTAATAATTTTAACTATTAATAAAATGAATGAAGAATGTAATATATTATATGTTTTTTTCAAGAATATGTTTTCTAGAATTTTTTAGAATTTTTTAGAATCTCAGAATTTTTTACTATAATTTAAAATTTTTTAAAATTCTTTATAAATATTAGAATTGTTTTTTTAGAATTGTTTGAAATCTAAAAATTTTTCAGATTCATTTTCTATAGTAATTTAAAAATTTTATTTTTTAAAGTTTTTCCTGAATCTTCTCTCTTAAAGCTTTTTAAAATTATTTTTAAGTTTTTTAAAAAATTTCAAAAATCTGAGAATTTTTTAAAAAATCCATCTCGTATAATTCAAATGTTCTCAAAATTTTGTATTTTTCAAAACTTTTCTAAAATTTTTTATATCTCAAAACTTTATATAATTTTTCAAGTCTTTATTTCAATTCAATATTTATGAATTTCCTATTTTGTTATCAATTATATATACTGTTTTTCTATAGAAGATGGTTAGTGAATCGTATCTGAACTATCATCAAGTTGCCATTACATTTAATGCACTCGATTGTTCTTGTTACGCGGCGAAGGTATGCAGCTGTTGAATGTGCGTCGCGGCGACGGGTCAATCAACCGCGGGTGTTTATATCCCCTTGAGGGACGATCCCTGTAACAAACTGTTGACCTCGGTTCAGAGGGGAACTTGCGAATCACTAAGTCGAGGGGGCTCTATTTTTATATCGTTTTTAACCTATGTCGTTGTTCGATTGGCATAAATCTCAACATTAATCGACAAAATGAGAAAAATGGAAAAATAGTAAAAAAATCATGTTTTGGTAATTCTTGAAGATATTCTTTACTAATATTAATTGAGAAAGTAAGAAAATTATTATAAATAATAGATTAAGCTATTTTTTTTTATAATTTTATTTTAGTTTTATATGTATATATATATATATATATACATATAATGTATATGTATATATGTATATACATATGTATATACATGTATATATATATATATATATATATATATATATATATGTATATATATAGTAGAGTTGTTATTTTCTACTTATTTCAAAATTTTATTTTATTTTGCATTATGAAATAGGAAGCGTGTGATCAATGTTGTTTCTCTGGAGAAAAGTCTATTACGTCGTGAACATTTAATGGCTTGCAATGGATTATGGACAATTTCATTTTTAACATCGGTTGAATGAGTTAAACGGTTCTGCGCTTGTTTTTCTAGAATGTAATTTAGCCTAAGATCTTGGATGATGAATTATACGTTTTTTTATTACTTTTGGAAGAAATATAAGTACTTCCTAAATATATTCTTTAAATCTAAATAGATTTAGAATAAATTTTCCAGAGTTTTTCAGATTAGTTAATATTATACTATAAATATTTTATATATGTTCTCATTATTAGTAAATTGATTTGTAAAATTTGCAATTATTATTTCAAAAATTCTGTAGATTATAAAAAAATTACATGATATTATAATTTATTTTTAATAAAATTTAATACTTTATAAAGATTAAAAATAAATTTTTATGAATTTAAAAAAAAGTAAATTATAAGTTTATTAATTTTATAAGTTTTCTTCCTATCTCATGTCAAAATTCTAATTATTGGTAATATTCAAGATAATCAAGTTAATCAAGTTGAATCAAGTTAAAATTAAGTTGAATTAAATTAAAATCCTGAAATTAAATTTTGTATTTAAATTCTGATTTTGTTTAAAAAGATTTTATTTCTCAAAGATCTTTTTCTATTTCATTGTAATCAAAATATAGAAGCCTAAAAAACATGAGTAATACTATTTTCTTAAGAAATAATTACAATATTCGGAAATACAGAAGAGTTTTCACAATACAAATCACTTTCACAATAAAGTATTCTCATAATCGCAACTATCGCGATTGGTTGTAAAAGACTATGGAAACAGGTGGTTAATGGCGCATAAATTTTATTCGATCGCATAAATCACTGGCAAATGACCAAAATCGGTAGAAAGTCTCCATGGTTATTGTTCCGATATTGAAATTGGAAATCATGTCGAACTTAAATAATAGCTGTACAATCTTCTGGAATTTTCTAAAAAATTCTAAAGTTTAAGCATTTATTTATACGAATAATTAATCTTATTTAGATGAATTATTATTATTTGAAAAGATTTTTTATGATATTACATGCATATATGATATTTAGTCTCATATTTCTATTTAAATCGCTTTAGATTTTTATATCTTCATTCTTATTTTTATATTTATATTTATCATTTATTAATTTTTATTTTTTAATTACAATCTATAACATGTGCTATTTTTTAAAATTATTCTAATTAATTCTTTTTACCTAGAAAAATAAATTAAAATAAAATATAAAAAAAAATAAAAGAATAAACCTATAGAAAAATATGTTTTCTTATTATGTCTTAATTCTACTCATAGACATTTGCAAAAAGGAATAAAATTCCTGGAAAGCCAAGAAAAGGGAAAAAAGGATGAAAGGAAATGAATGGTTTCTCCATTGTTACGAAAAATGAATCTCACCATTTCCCTTCATTGGAGCATGCTTTCGAACCGGAAGAGATATCAAAGAGTTTAATTTATCGATTGCAAAGAATCATCTTGATACGATATATAGTTGTTTATGATACTAGAAATAAAAAAATAAACTCAGTATAAAAAAATTCGAAAGGAAAGAGAAAAATTTGTATCTTCTATTTCTTTAATTTAAATAAGATAGTACATTTCTATTGGCTTTTGTATAATATCTATAACATGTAACACACCTGATTAGACATGAGTCATATGCTGATGATTTTAGAAACTACATTATATCAAACTGTAAGATATTTTGCACGAGCAGGATCAAAAATATGATTCTGGAAGGTTTGAGTTTTAATTAAATATAATTCATATTAAACTCTCAAGGATGAATATTACATACATCAACATATAATTTCATTTGCAATTTTTTAATTTATATTTAATTTTATTTTTTTAAGAATCTTATTATGAGAGAAAATTTTAGAATAAAAAAGATTTATAATATTTTATTCATCGATATTTTTATTTTCATTTAGATCTCATAATTCATTTCAAAGTTTGAAAAGTTATAATATATTATAATTATTTAATTTTTATTTTAATTTATGGAAATTTTTTTTATGTTCTTGATTTTTGTAGACAACTCGCGTAAAGTATTTATTACAGTAATAAATATTATTATAAATTTACAATATTAACTTATTAAAATAATTAAAAATGGAAATTATATATAAAAATTATTTAAAATAGTCAACTAATATACAAAAAGTTAAGTTGTAAGGATTAATTAATTTTTTTATTTACTATACACTAAGCAAAGTAATAACAGTATGAATACCACACGAAGCATGAAATCGATTACATCAATTATATCGATTACATCGATTATATCGATTATATCGAATAATCGATATTTTCTTTACATTCTCTTGCAGTGAAGTTCAGGTTATTAGGTGGTTATAATTAGTGACAAATGAGATTTCATTTAATCAAAAAACTTCAAGTTTCTGATTTTTAAACTATTACAACTTATTATTTTATATTGAAATAAAATACAATATTTTTTGAATACGATTACGAATTTGTTTGGTCGTACAAACTTATTTTTATCATCCTGGCTGGCTGTAGCATGCTTTGTTATCTTTATACATGTTGATCACGAGGATAACTGATTTCATGATGAAGTTCCTCCAATTAGCATGTGTGACTATTCTAAGCTATTCATACTAACATATTGATATTTTAATACTTTCTGCATAACATAAGTAAATGACTTATGAAAAGACAGGTGAAATTATTAATTATTTTTAATATATTTAATATTTTTTACATTTAATGCAAAATAATATAATTTGTATAAGCTGTAAAAACTATAAATAACATTATTTTAATTTGTCTCAACAAACGTTTAATGAAATATAGACTAATAATCAATAATTAAATATTGGCTGTGATATAGAGT